AGTGGAGATTGTTGCAGTGCAGAGTTTCATTTATGATGAAGGAGAAATAAACTCCAGTCAGCTTAAATTCAGCAGGCTTATTGAAAAGGTGAAGAGACATCTTGCAGAAGCAAAGCATGGCTGAGGCTTGCGGGCTCCGTCTTGGAAAATGAGCAGCCGACAGTGGCTGGTGCTGCCCCTGGCTCTGGGGCCACATGGTCTGTTTTCCCCCATGAGCACCTCCTCTATTCTCGTGTCTTCCCTCAGCCTGGAAGTCTCTGTGCATTCTTCAACACATAACTGAACACAGCTCTGCCAGCCTCAATGCTACCTGGCACTTTAGGTTAAAATAAAGAGGCATGAAATGAGCTGGCCCTTTAAAGTTTAGCTACTGGAATGACAGTTGAAAATACAGCGTCTCAACTCCTGGTTTAGTGCTTTAAGCTGGACTTTCTTTTCTGAATATGAGCACACACTTTGGGATATCAGTGTCACCCAGTGTTATCAGCTAGCATTCTCCTTTTGTTTCCCATAGCATCCCCTGCACCTGCCCACAGGTCCACTGTCCACTCATTTCCATCCTGTCTCATGCCACTTGGGGCGTGTCACCTCTAGAATGCGTCCCTGGCTCCCCTGCGTGCACAATTCCAGTGAGGGTTAGTGATGGGGGACACCTGATGGAGCCTGGAAGTGAGAGGAAAGCGAGGTCCATGTTCCTTCCCTCTCCCTCCCCACTCCGGCACTGAGCATCTGGCAATAGCTGCATCTCTCTGTTTCTTCAATGGCCACTCATCCATAGCCACAGTTCTCAGGCTCCAAGGATAGTATTTACCTTTGTTCTTTTGGCTCCCACTAAAGAAGATCCAGAGACATTATTTTCACCGAGGTGTTAAATGCATGGGTGAGGGGAACAGCGGCATGCATGGCACCTATCCTCTGCAGGCTGGAGGTCATTGTGGGAGATGATGCCATGCAATTGGCCTCCCTGCTGTCACTGAGAACAACAGGTTCTGGAAGAGTAGAGGACAGGCAGGGGTACTCGGCCGTCTAGAGACAAGGCAGGAGGGATTTCCTTGAGAGACAGGGATATCTAGTGGTTACTAATCATTGTGGGGGTCTCTGGGAATGTACTAGATGGGAAACCTACTAAGAAATTGACTTACACAAAAATTAGAGAAGCTCTAGCTCTGAGGACAGAGACCTGATGGAGTCACCATAGTGGCAATTTATGACCTGGCATCAGTTCAGACACCTGGAGCTTCTCGACTGAGGGGATATTGGGTCCCTTTGAGGAAGAAAGAAACCCTCAATGCTGTCACAATGCTGTAAACATTCCTCCAGGCCTTCTCCCAAAGGGACCTGACACATAACTTACGATATAGTAACCCCACTTTCAGGGTATTCTTGTCTACTCTAAAGCATGCAATGCCTTCTTCCTTAGGATTCAGCCTAGTGCCAATATCTGTGTATGGCTGTGCACCTTCATGGGCCATAGCTAATTAGATGAGGAACAGTAGACCCACTTCAACCTAGGCAGTATGCAGGCATCCTCTCCAACTGTTTGGTTCTGGTCCCCACTCCAAAGTTTTCTGCATTTTATTGTGTTAGTTTCCTATTGCTGCATGCCAAATTATCACAAATTTTAGAGGCTTAAAATAGCAACCATTTACTTTCTTGCCGTTTCCACAGATCAGCAGTTCAGGCATGGGTTAGCTGGGTCTTCTTTTCAAGGCCTCACAGGCTGAAATGAGGCTGAGTTTCTTTCTCAAGGTTCTGGGAAGACTTCCTCCCAGGTTCCCTCACGTCGCCAGATGAATTCAGTTCCTTGTGACTGTAGGACTGAGGTCTCTGCTTTCGTGCTGGCTGTCAGTCAGGGGCCTCTCTCTGCTCCCAGAGGACCCCCATGTTCCCACCGCAAGCTTCCTCCATCCTTCAGAGGAGAGCCGCCCTGCATGGAAACCCTCCTGCACATCACATCACTCCAGGAAGACCTCAGTTCCTCCAAGGAAGTTACCTTCATTAGGTCAAGCTCATAAGATAATCTCTCAATCTTAATTTCTACTGATTTGGGATCTTGATTACATTTGCTAAATTGTTTTTGCCATGAATCATAACATAATTGCAGGAGTGGTATCTCATCGCTGGCTTTGTCTACACCTAGGAAAAAGAGATTACATAACAGCAAAGATCACTGGAGTCATCTTAGGATTCTGTCTACCACAATATTATGAAGACAGTAATTTAAAAAGTATAACCGACTTCTGCTTCTGTCTATTAGAATAAATGATATCAGACTAATCCTACCTCCATAAACAGCCATAAAATTGTTTTCGGACAGCAGACAAGAGCAGCACACTTTGATTTGTTGAGGAACAGGAAACTTAAGGGGGAAGTCCCATGGTTTCCTAGTTCTTTGCTGGGGAGAATTTCTCACCAGCTGCACAGTGGGCTAAAGTCCACTTACAGCAGGGCAGCCCCACTGAGCTGAGAAGGCAGAGATCAGAGTTCAGGGCCACTGAAGCAACTGCAGCCTGCAGGGTAGGGCATCAATGAGAAGATAGTTGTGCAGAGCAGCAGCTCCCAAAGTGCACCTGGGGTTCCATTTGCATACTTATCAAGGACTGGGCTCTACCTGCACAAGAAAAAGACTAACAGATTTAACAGAGGGGTGGCTGCTACAAAATTATGTTTGGACAAGAGGTACTTCAGGTGGAGGAGCATTGGGGAATGGATGGACGATGGAGTTCCTGCCATCCGTGGGGGTGCGGAGGGGGGGAAGACCTCATGCACACCTCATTAGCACCCAGGTATCCAACTGAGACACTAGAATGGCTGTGCTTTAGGAATAAGTGTCACATTTTACAATAAGACCTATTCTAGACCAGTCCTAGTAAAGCCTAAAACTAAACCCTGACAAAATCCACCATGGGGTGGATTGGTGATTGAGTCCTGCCAAATTAGAGGGTCTTGGGAAATACTGTGGGCTTTCCATGAATCCATAGTAATGAAACATAAACCAAGTCCACATAAGTCCAAAGTGATCTGACAGTAATTTTACTGCCCACTAGAACAAAATTAATTCACACAGTCAATAAGACAAGTTAGCCAAGCTGACATTTAAGCAAACTACATCTAAGAACAGCTAACAAATAACTCTTCACAAACATACATATAACATTCACCAAGATAAATCACATACACTAAGCTGTAAAATAAATCTCAACAAATTTTCAAAAAGTGTTACAGATTATGTTTGTTGACCACAAAATTATATTAGAATCAATAACTGTAAGAAATCTATTAAATCAGGAAATATTTGGAATTTAGATAATATGCTGCTAAACAACATGAATCCAAGAGAAGAGAAAACTGGAAAATACTTGAAATACAATGAAAATGAAAACACAAGATATTAAAACTTGTGAGATGCAGCTAAAGTCATATGTAGGAAAAATGTATAACTTTTTATGCGTATACTAGAGAATAAAAAAATTTTTTAATCCGTGTTTTAAATTTATATTTTAAGATTCTAGAAAAAGACAAGCAAATTAAACCCAAAGTAAGTAGAACAAAATAAATCATAAAAAGCAGAAGTAAAATACAAAACAGATAAACAGCTAAAAATTAAAGCTAAAAACTGTTTTTTAAAAAATTAATAAAACTGATAAACACCTAGCAGGACTAATCAAGAAAAAAGAGAGAAAATGCCAATTATCTTTATTATCAGGAACTAAAAAGGTGACATGCATAGATGCCAACATTAAAAGGATATTTAAAAATTATGATAAGCAACTTTAAGTCCATAAAAGCAATAATGTAGCTAAAATGGGCAAGTTTCCTGAAAAATACATTTCACCTAAACTCACAAGAGGAAATAGCAAGACTATTCCTCTACCTATAAAAGAAATTGGATTTATGATTTAAAAATCTGACACTAAGCAAAATCTAAGCCCAGATGCTTTCAGGTTGAATTCTTTCCTTTTTTTACAGATGGCATGATAAAAATATTAAATTAATTTTTTCAGAACATAGAACAGGAAACCTTTCAACGTTTTTGAGGCAAGCATAACCCTGATATGAAAACCAAAGCAAATATAACCCTGATACTAAAAGATTTTAAAAGACAAAAAAAAATCACTACTTCTTGTAAGCATGGATGCAAGAAATCCTACAAAATATTAACAAATCAAACCCAAACATATAGCAGGTATAGTAAATCTTGACCAAGTCTAGTTTATTCCAGGAATATAAAGTTTGTTCAACATTTGTAAATCAATTAATGTAATTCAGCCCATTGACAGAAGGAAAAAGTTATACAAACATTTAAATCAATGCAGAAAAAGTATTTGTCAAGATTGAAACTCATTCATGATTTTAAAAAGAAAATAAAACACGTGGCACACTAGGAATAGAAGGAACTTTCTTTAACTTGCAAAATGCATCTATGAAGAACACCCAGCTAATATCACGGTTAATAGTGAAACACTAAACGCTTTTCATCTAAGACAGAGAATAGGGGAAGAATGTCGGCTTTTGCTGCATTTATTCGCTGTCATTCTGGAGGCCCTAGTCAATGCAACAATGAAAAGAAAGACAAATAAAAAGGAATAAAATGTGGAAATCAAGATGTGAAGCAATCCATATTCACGACAAACATGTATGTAGATGATCCTAAGAAATATGCTTAAAATTACTTCTATTAATCTGTGAATTTTGCAGGGTCACAAGATTCAAAGAACAAAAACTAGAAAGCCTCAACAAATGAAGAGATGTAACATGTAGAAGAATGGGAAGATTAAACAAAAAAAAGAATGAGAAGATTTTAATGTTATCACGGATGTCATTTTTACTTTGCATCTCCTGGGTTTCCAGTATCGGTTGAAAAATGTATCGCCGGCTCCCGGAACGCGCGTACCGCAGACGGCGCGGATCGCAGGGAGCCGGTCCGCCGCCGGAACGCCGCCGGAACGCCGCCGGAACGGGAACCTGGGTGTGCGTGTGGAGCCGGGGCTCGCGGGAGACTGCAGCGATGAACACGGCGCTGTCGCGGGCGAGCTCGCTGTTCGCCTTCTCGCTGAGCGTGATGGCAGCGCTCACCTTCGGCTGCTTCATCACCACCGCCTTCAAAGACAGGAGCGTCCCGGTGCGGATCATGCTAAAAAATGTAGAAGATTTCACCGGACCGAGAGAAACAAGCGATCTGGGATTTATCACATTTGATGTAACTGCTGATCTAGAGAATAGATTTGATTGGAATGTTAAGCAGTTGTTTCTTTATTTATCAGCAGAATATTCAACAAAAAATAATGCTCTGAACCAAGTTGTCCTGTGGGACAAAATTGTTTTGAGAGGTGATAATCCGAAGCTGCTGCTGAAAGATATGAAAACAAAATATTTTTTCTTTGACAATGGAAATGGTCTCAAGGGAAACAGGAATGTCACTTTGACCCTGTCTTGGAATGTTGTACCAAATGCTGGCATTCTACCTCTTGTGACAGCATCAGGACACGTATCTGTCCCATTTCCAGATACATATGAAATAACGAAGAGTTATTAAATTATTCTGAATTTGAAACAACATATTTTTATACTCAATGAATTGTATCTCATTTATCTCTTCCCTTGCATCTTCATTTGTTGTTACTTTTTTTGTTGTTGTTGTTTTGTTTTTTTTCGGTATAAGACCTAACATCAAAAGGCCTGTTTGAAGGGAAAGGTTAATGGGCTACTTAATTTTACAAACAAAACAGAAACCAAGGCTGTCACAGTGAAGTACTATCTTACAAGAATAAGAACTACATAAAAAGGATTGTAAAAAATACATATTTGAAGTATTTCCTGTATTTCTGTTACTCTTTATGGAATATAAAATGAGCATGAAGGGTAGTTAAAACTTTTCAGGTGCTTGTAGAGTCATAATAACTCTGTATTTTATGCCTTGCATTCACGCAAGTTCACATTGGATGTGGTTTAAAAGTAGATATCCTCTTTTATCTTTTTAAGGATATGTTTGAATACTGGAAAATTAATATGGTTATTTGTTAGAAGTCTGGTTTATAAAAAAGCCAAAAGTAATGGAATTTTATTCCATTTGTCTTAGGCAGGCCCATAATATTTGTTTTTCTTACATGTGACTAGCAATTTTCTCCACTTAAAGACTAAATACCTCTTTATATGCTGTAAATCATTCTAATTCATTTAAAAATCTTTTAGGTCAACCAAATGTGTGTCTTCAGTGCTTTCTCTAAAAATATTCCTTTATAGCTTTGTACATTTTTCAAGCATTGCCATTGAAAGTTGAAAATGTTTGCATGGTTTATTCTCTGAGTTACGCTTCTTCTAGTGAGCATGCCTACTGCCACTAAGTGGATTATTTACGACTTTTTGTAGGTCCATATTTTAATTATTGGGATAATAATTGTGGTATGCTTTCCATTTACAAACCACTCATATACTTTAGTGTATGTCGTCCTTAATAATCTAACAAGGTAAGTAGTATAAGTGTTAGCTCTTTGCAGATGAAGAAACTGAAACCCAGAAGTTTATTGAATTGTCACATAGTGAGCAAGGAGTGGAGTTAAAACTTGAACTCAGATCTTCTAATTCTCTGAGCTCATCCTTTCTTTTATACCTCAGATTGCAGACTAATCAAGTATCACTTAAAACCTGATATTTTTTGTGACCCTGGAAACCCTTTCTATCACTCCTAGAAAAGGTTTCTCGTTTTATATGGAAATGACTAATTTTCAGGCTGCCAGCTTATATCGAGGTAATATTTTATTCTCTGTATAAATTCATTTCACTTATATTAAAAGCAGAAAGATATCTAAAAAAAAAAAAGAAAAATGTATCCCCATTGCCAATATTATGTATATACTTTCTTAAGTTGTCTTGAAAGATTTTAAATTAAATTGAAATTTTATTTTACATTTTAGGCTTAAATCCATTTTTTGAGTACGATGAGGTTCGACATTATTTCCTTCCAGATAGACACTAAATTTTGCCAGCATAGACTATTTTTTAAAATGTATTTCCTCCACTGATTTGATGTATCATTATGATGTATTAAGTTTTTATAGACAATGATCTATAATGAGTTATCTAGACTCTTTCACTTATCTATTTATTTGTTGGTTTATATACTGATACCATATTATTGTTCCCAATCAACTTGTGGAGGCTGAGGCAGGAGGATCACCTGAGCCAGGAGTTGGAGGCTGCAGTGAGCTGGGATCGCACCATGGCACTCCACCCTGTGTGATAGAACAACACTGTCTCAAAAAAATGCGTCTCCTAAGTTTATGGTTTAATGCATTTTGACAAATTTGTACAACTGTAGTAGATTCATAGAGTTGTGCAGCCGTCACCAACACCAGTTTTAGAACATTTTCTTCACCTCTTCGATTGCCCTCCAGCTCCGCTGCAGTCAGTCCCTGCTCCCTCACCTGCTACTGCCATGACAGCCCCAAGCAATCATTAATCTGCCCTGTGCCTCTATAAATGTGTCCTTTGTGGACATTTCACAGAAATAGAATAAGGCAATATGTAGTATTTTTCACTTAACGTAATGTTATTGAGGTTCATCCATGTCATAGCATATATAAGATTTCATTGCTGAATAGAATTCCATTGTACAGGTACACCACAAAAATAAAATTTTGTTTATTCATTTAGCAGCTGATGGACAGTGAATTATTTCCAGTTTATGACTATTGTGAATAATACTGCTGTGAACATGTCAGAATCATTCTTGAATAAACATATGTTTTCATTTATTTTAGATAGATTTCTAGGGGTGGACTTGTTGAATCATATGGTAACAATATGTTTAACTTCTTAAGAAACTGTCAAACTGGTTTCCAAAGTGACTATTATTTTACATTCCCAACAGAAATATTTGAGGATTCCAGCTTTCCCACATAATCAGCAAGACATGGTATTCTCTGTCTTTTTAAGATTAGTCATATTCATGGGTATAATGTGGTATATTAGTGTGGTTTTAATTTACATTTACCTAAAGACTAATGATGTTGAGTACCCTGTTATATGCGTTTTAGTCATCTATATTTCTTCTTTGGTAACATGTGCATCCATGTTCTTTGCTGATTTTTAAAATTAGGTTGCTTTTTTTTTTTTTGAAACAGAGTTTCGTTCTTGTTGCCCAGGCTGCAGTGCAGTGAGGCAGAGTCGGCTCACTGCAACCTCCCCGTCCCGGGTTCAAGTGATTCTCCTGCCTCACTCTCCCGAGTAGCTGGGATTACAAGCATGTGCCACCACACCTGGCTAATTTTGTATTTTTCGTAGAGATGGGGTTTTCTCCATGTTGGTCAGGCTGGTCTCGAATTCGCGACCTCAGATCATCCACCAGCCTCGGCCTCCCAAAGTACTGGAATCACAGGCGTGAGCCACTCTGCCTGGCCTAGGTTGCTTCTGATTAAATTAAAAAAGTGTTCTTTAAATATTGAGAATTCAAGTCCTTTGTAGGATGTATGTATAGCAAATATTTTCTTCTAAACAATGACTATTTTCTTCTTAATGATCTCTTTCGAAGCAGAAAGGTTTTTAATTTTAGTAAAGTCCGTTTTATTAACGGTTTCTGTTTGGCTTGTGCTTTCGGTACCATATCTTAGAACTCTTTGCTTAACCCAAATTCACAGAGATTTCCTCCCATGAATTCCTCTTGAAGTTTTATATTTTAGCTCGTACAACTAGGTCTATACCCATTTTGAGTTAATTGCTGTGCATGTGTTATGTGAGGCAAAGTGCCATGAGGGGGCTTTGTCTGGATAGCAGCAGGGGAGCTTGGAGATAAGTCATGTTTAAGAGTGATCCTTTCCCAGCCCATGAAACTGAGATTTCCTCCTGCATCTGTCAGCGACCGGCTAATGCCTTGAGGGAAGACAGATAAATGGCATATACGGATTATACATTTCCGTATATGTCCCATTTTGAGGACCTGGGTGCAAAATGGTTACAGTAGCCCAAGCATAGTCCTACCAGAAGAACCCTTAGGAGCAAAAGGCACCAAAAGCAGGGAAGGATTGTGCAGAGGGATAACAGGGATCTCAGGTGATCTAAGTTAGTCTCCTAGGAAGTGTCCTCCTGAGATGGATGCAAAGGGGAACTGCCACATATCAAGGACTCAGTAAACGTGTGTCTTCGGTGTTAGGAGCAGATTGAAGGAATTTCCCAGTTTGTAAACATTTTTGTCAACATGAAAATAGCAGGCATCTAGACTTATAATCTCCTAAAGAAAAGATAGAGACATTTGACAACCAAAGGTCCCATCCATTTAAGAACCAGTGAGCTCTGAGAGAATCCTAAGGATTAGCTGAAATTGCCCTATCCCAGCCCACAGACCCCACACTTCTAAGATCTGTTGGGTTTCCAATGTGTGGCCAGGGGAACACTAGCACAAGGAATTTGACAGTCTGAGTAAAGAGACAATTCAGGGAATGTAACGTTACATAGTCACACCGCATCCCTTATCACTCTCACTGCAGTCACCTTTCTGAAAATGAAACCCTGATA